CTGTACCAGTGTACACCCTCTGGTCTAGCCAGACTTGCAAGGTCGAATTGGGATCATGATAGTGGAGGGCAGAGGAAGCACTTAGAAACTAGAGGAAAGTTGTATTTTTCATCGTTGCTACATCGCACCCTTTCTGGCTCCTCTCCTCCCTGTCTGGCTCATCTCCTCCCCAAGACCCCTCTGCAAGGGGATCTCCAGTGGCCTACTAATAGGCTTTGGATCTCCACTCCGCACTCCCCCCCTCATTCACTATGGTAAGATTTTTTGTTCTGATGATGCCTGATACCTGATCCCTTCGACACCTTGTGATTGCACAGGCTGGTGTGCTTCTTCCACGTGGGCTTCGTTGCATTCACTACAATTTCATCATCCAACTAATCTCGCTCCCCTGAAACAGCGTCCTCCATGTGTGCAAGCAGCCCCTGATGCTATAGTCATATTAGAGGAGAAGTTACATCACAGATAGCCGAGATACGCACGGGTGGATACCTGCATACGTGAGTCGAGATGACCCATGTCTCACTCAGATGTGCGAGCAAGCCAAGGGGGCTCAGTACAGACAGACGGTCCTGGGAGCAGATTCCCTTCAGATGGACTTAGACAGGAATCCGTGCCAAAGTCCGAACGCAAAGATATTGGTGCCAAGTTCTCTGGACACGGAGAACCTGGCGCAGAACACTGTCCCGGGCTCCTGAGTACCCGAGCGCCTGAACGGGACGGTCAGAACCTCATCCCTCTTCCAGCGGGATGGCCAGGACCATCACCTTCCACGGCTTGGGCAAGGCCCCGGGAAGGAGCTGAGGCACCGGATGGTCTGGCCTTCGCCCGAGATAAAGTGGACACTTTCCCTCCTGTTCTTCGGGAGAAAGAACATTCTGCAAAAAACGAGTTACTCCCTGTCCCTGTCCCTGCCCGAATTGGCTAAAACGTTACTGTGTCTTTGCCTTCAGATCATTGTCAGCAAACCCTTTGTGTGAGAGCTTGTCCCAGGACACAGGGGCCTTGTGCATAAGGCCCAGGCCTCAAGTAAAGGCCTGGGCCCGGGTGCCTGGCCTCCTGGTGCCCCGTACCCCCAATGTGGTCTTGCCTTTTATCTGTCAGCTAGCATTCCCAATTGCGACCATGTGCCTCTCAACCCTGGTTTGATGTGTGACAGCTGGTTTCTCATTGATGACCAGCCTTTAGGGCCCTCACACACAGGGTGCCTCTCCCCTGGGAGCCCCCTGGCAACCCTGGGAGTGCCCACCGTGGGACTGGCACACCCCTGTCACAGGCAGGCGCAATGCAGGTGGGAGAGGTCCTGAGAGGCTATCAGCCATCTGCCCTGCCCTCCACCTGCCAGCCGTGGCCGCCCTGGTCCGAAGCCCGCACTGTGAGGAAGCCTAGTGGGAGCGGCCAGCTCCGGGCGTCCTTCTAAATTGCAGACAATGGCTGGCATGCCCAGGCCTGCCCTGGGGACTCTGATGTCAGCAGGCCCAGATTCCAAGGGACAGTCAGATGTGCGGGGAGCAGGAGCCTGCCGGGCTCACAGCCTCCATCTCCTCCCCAAAGCAGCCCCTTAGAGATATCAGCCACTGTTTCACCCTGACCAGGGAGCAAGGGGCCAGAGCCACCTAGCTGCGATGAGAGCGGGAGTCCCCCGGGAGCCAAGTTCCCCACCTCCAGCCTCGGCCCTGCAAACCCGGACTAGGGAGGTGCCGCGGGGGCTCACCAGAGGTCTGACCTCAGAGCTGAGGCACTGCCCCCCACTCCCCAGTGGAGAGGGCAGGTGGGCTTCAGAGCAGCTCCTCTGTGGTGGGGTGGTGGCAAAGAGCTTCTGCAGATGGGGCTCTATGTCACTGATCTTTCAAAGCTCCCCCGGGGAACCAGTCTGGAGACCAGCCCTCTAGACCAGCATGGTCCACTCGGGCAGGATGGCAGCCATCTGGGACATGTGACCAGTGTGGCCAGTGTGAGTTAGAAATGACATGTCTCCTTTCATTCAAAATTTTAATCCATGTAAGTGTGAAAAGAGGTCTGTGACACGCAGCTCCGGAATTGCTCCATGCGACCTTCGACAACCTTCAGCTGCAGTCAGCGGCGGTTCTCTGGTATCTCCATTGGGCAGCGTTGCTCTAAAGGAAATTCCACAAGGGGGTGAGTTTGACAAACAGAGGTTTATTCTCTCACAGTTTAAGAGGCTGGGGTTCCAAATTCGGGGCGCCGGCTCTAGGGGGAGGCTTTCTCTCTCTGTTGGCTCTGAAGGAAGGTCCTGGTCTCTAGAACAGCATTCCTGTGTCTGGACACCATTCCTGGTCTCCTTCTAACAGCATGCCTTGTCCCTTCAAATCAATCTCCCCGTGGCTGTACAGGGTGCTCGGCTCCCCAGGAAGAAGGCTCCTCTTTCTGGACGGTAATCCGGAGCCCTGTGGCTTAGTGGGCCACGGGATGGGCTGCCAGTCCGAGCCCACTGGGCACAGAGTGAGAGAAAGAGGGGCTGTCTGCTCTGTACAGATTGACAGCCTCTTCTCTCCCCCCTGCAGGGCGCCTGTGATTCAGAGTCCACTCTATAGCAGGCAGTTTGGTTTTCTTCTCTGCTGATTTAATCTCTCTTACATCTCCAATTAAAATGGACTCAAGATACAGACGGATCTTGGAGCTGATACTGACTCATTAACATCACAGAAGCCAAGGGTTACGACACAGGATGGTTACATCAGCTTACACTCAAAAGGCTCCTTATGTAATACTGAGGACCAGGGCCCAGCCAGCTGACATGACATTCAGTGGGGCGGGGACACAAGTCAGTCCCTAACAGTGACTGGGGGAGGAGGGGATCTGCAATGTGGTGCAGAAACCCTCCTGGGGTGTCCCCACCTTGCCCTCCCCGTGTAAGGGGGTTCGAAGGCGGGCCAAGCCGCATCTCCAGCCTGAGTTTCTCCTGGTGTACCACGAGGACAGCCGAGGTCCCCTGGTGTCCGTGAGCGGATGTGGTAGGAGGACTGACCTCCTGGAAGAAGGAGCTGGAGGCAGACCCATCCAGGCTCCCTGTGGCCCCTTTCTCACCACCCCACGCAGAGCTCCTGCCACCCCTCCACAGGCTAGGCGCGGCCTCCTGGGGGCCTTTGCACCGGCTGCTCCTCCCACTGTCCCCTAACCATCACCCTCAACCCCTGACTTCCAGCTTCCTCAGAGAGCAGCGCCTCCTCCCACCACAGGCTGGCCGCCCTCTACGCCCTCTGTCTTCCCCACTTCCCTGTCCCTGCCTGCTGACCGGGCCCCTCCCCCTTGGACTATGTACTGTGAGGGTCCCTGCTAGGTGCTGGGCACTCAGTCTGGCTGGCACAGAGAAAGGCCACACAGACCTGTCTGATAAGCCAGTCTCTAGAGTCACCAGGTCTGAGAAACAGCAGGAGGTTCCTGACAAGCTTCCCAGAAATGTCCCAATGTGGAGAGGCCCTTCAGCGCAGTTAGGGCAGGCAATTCAACCCCCAAGTGTTTGGAGAGAGCCTGCCATGTGTCCCACCTCTGCCAGGATCACAGCATTCTTGGGGGGGAGGGGGTACCACCTCTGTGCCTAGGTCAGTGGGGGGAACCGAGGGTCTGACTCCCACCTGCCTACCTGGAGATGCCCAATGGGTCAACAGGCAGCCAGCATGGCCCGGGGCTGCCTCTGCTGTGGGGGTGGAGGAAGGAGGAGGGCACCTCGCAGGAACTCTGGTGGCTGGGTGGGTCAGCCCACCCGCCATTCCAAAGGCGAAAGACGAGGCTGTCTGCACCTGTAAAGATGCGCCATCCCAGAACCCCCGCTGGGGGGTTGGCTGGCTGCAGACCAGCAGGTGCTCACCGTGACGTGGGTGCCTGAGCCTAGGGCGGAGAGAGAGAGAGGTGGGATGAAGAGACACGTGTCTCCCAGGTGAGGCAAGTAGTGGCAGGCCGAGTGTAGGCGCGCCTCTCCTGCCACCTGCCCCCCTATCTGAGCTCTCAAGAAGGGGCCTCTCCTCTGGTCCACGGGGGTCAGGCCAGACTCTCCCACCCCAACAGCTGTGCCGGGAGAGAGGGCCCCCCTCCCACTCCTGGCCTGATCTTAGCAATGGGGGAAGATAGGTGCACAGCTGTGCCTGTGTGTCTGTGTGTATGTCTGTGTGTGTGTCTGTGTGTGTACCTGTGTGTATGTCTGTGTGTGTGTCTGTGTGTCTCTGTGTATGTCTGTGTGTGTACCTGTGTGTGTGTCTGTGTATGTCTGTGTGTGTCTCTGTATGTCTCTGTGTGTGTCTGTGTGTGTCTCTGTGTGTATCTGTGTGTGCCTGTGCATCGTAGTGGGTGTCTCTCCAGAAGCAGACCCCGAGAAAGAATCAAGTGCCCCCCATGTGTTTGGGACGCCACCTAGGGAACACCGCAGGGGCGGCAGGGACAGGCCGGCAGCTGGCAAAGGGTGTGGTGTGAAGCACTCTCCCAGCTCTGGCTACAGGGTTTGGGGTCCATTTTCACATTTGCAATTTTATGTTGTGTACTACGAGTTGGCCTGGTTCTGTGTTTGGGTCAACGTCTTAGACCCTCCTGCAGAGATCCCTCACTGCGGCTGGTTGACGCTGGTGCCCTAGACTTACTAACGGACATGCAGGGCATGCGTGGTTTCCGATCACCTGTGGACCCTGGTAAAGCCACCCACCTGGACAAAGGTCCACACCATGCCCCACCTGAGGGAGCTGTCTGTGCTCCAGCCTGCACTACACACGGGTGGGGACTGCTGGGCAGGCCGCCCTCAGACACAGGGTCCCTGTGCAGGGGGGGGGGGGCAGTCGGGCTGTGTGCACAGACAGGGTGCAGGGGTGCCTGGAACACAAGGTCTCTGGTGTCCTGAGCCAGGGGAGGTCACACACCAGGGGAGCCTAGCCCTGCCCTCCTCCCTCCCGGACCAGGACAGCTCATGCCCTCCGAGAACAGGATTTGCCCAATCAAGCCACAGTGGGGAGGGGGGGGGGGACAGCTCGGGCCCTCTTTGGACAGTGGGAGCAATACACTGATCGTGGCATTGTCCCCAGGTGGGGTGAGGGGAGCGAGGCAGGTGCCTCAGGGCCCGGCCCCTTGTCACCAGAGCCACCAGGGCAAAAGCCCAGTGTCAGCTCCGTGTGGGGGTGGCCTCCAGGCTCCGAGCTTCACTCGTCAGAGTTCCTTGAGAATCCTGAGCAAGGCCATGGCGTCTTCCCCAAGGCCGCTCAGACCCACAGCCTTGCAGCACAGGGCTGGCTGGGGGGTGGGGTGGGGGCAGCACAGCTGCATCTCAGGGGTGGTTCGGAGTCCCAGGGCCCAGGAAGCAGGGGGCTGGCTGGGTCTCGGCCCCCACCTGGACGCAGTCCTGGAGAGGCAGCAACAGGGCAGACTGGGGCAGGGGGTGGTTAGCCAGGGGGGTCGGGGGTGGGGGGGTGGCGCAGTGAGGTCACACACAGAGGAGGGGGAGGAGGTCAGGAAAGGTCTCCTTCTGGGCCTGCACTGACCACCACCAGGCCTGGGACCCAGCTGCCCAAGGCCAACACTGAGCATGGAGACCCAGGCCATCTGGGGCCGGAGCAGTGCCCTCCTGCTCATGAGGGCGGGGCAGGCGGGGCCGGAGAGGGCCCTAGAGCAGTGGTTCTCAACCTTCCTCATGCCGAGACCCTATCATACAGGCCCTCATGTGGTGGTGACCCCTAACCATAAACTGATTTTCGTTGCTACTTCATCACTGTCATTTTGCTATCTGTGATGAATCGTCATGTAAATATCTGACAGGCAGGATGTATTTTCATTGTTACAAATTGAACATAATGAAAGCATAGTGATTAATCATGAAAACAATGTGTAATTATTGTCTGTGTAATGGATTATGTAAGAGTTGCATGAGCCCCAATAAAATGATTTAAAAAAACAACATGTAGATGCCAGACTGTGCAAGATAAGACAAAATAATCATTTGTAAATTATCAAGGGTTCATGAGGGAGCGGGGAGTGGGGAGGGAGGGGAAAAAATGAGGAGCTGATGCCAGGGGCTTAAGTGGAGAGCAAATGTTTTGAGAATGATGAGGGCAATGAATGTACAAATGTGCTTTACACGATTGATGTATGTCTGGATGGTGATAAGAGTTGTATGAGTCCCTAATAAAATGATAAAAAAAACAATATGTAAGGATATATTGTGAACTACTTATTTCTAATGACAAATCAATGAAATTCTGTCTTGAAGCACGGTGTAGCATGAGTAACAGTCTTACTAGAACAACAGTAAACTACATCGCTACATTTTGCAACAGTCCTTGTACAAAGAATGTTGGTGAGCCGGTTGAGCTTTAGCCTCTTTCTGACCAGATCAGCGTATCTGCCTGTGGGCGGACCCTCCTGGAGGCGGTTAGAGGAGCGAGCGGTGTCTCCCTTCCTAAGACCATCAGAAATGCTTTCCGATGGTCTTAGGAGACCCCTGTGAAAGGGCTGTTCGACCCCCAAAGGGGTCGAGACCCACAGGTTGAGAACCGAAGCCATAGAGGCGGGGCTGCTGTGAGCTGAGGGACAGGGGTCCAAGCTGAGGCCTGGGACAGCTCTGGGGGAGGGTGGCAGGCCCACCCAGCCTCTGAATCCCACCCCCACCCCAAGATTGTGACTCCGGAGCTGGCCGGGCGGCCCTCAGCGAGGTGGTCTGGGGCCAGGGGCTTGTGGAGGATGGCGGGGTGGGCTTGGCGGGCCCCTCCCCGAGGACTCTGACAAGGGCAGTCACTGAGAGGCCACTCCGGGCCCGACTCTGAGGAGGGCTGTCAGACTGGCCTGGGCTAGCACCATTTCCCAGGCTTTCACCCCTTGGCCAAGGCTGCACCAGCGGGGAGGGGAGGAGGGCCTGGCCTTGCTCCTGTCCTGACTTGGAGCCTCTGGCTTTTGACACAAGACAGCCTTGGGGTCACTCGACTGGCTTGGCAGCTGCATTCACCTGCACTATGCTGACCTCTGAGAGGTGGCGTCAGGAACACGGCGCTCTCCAGGGCTGGCCAGGCGAGGTCAGCACCCATTGACTCCAGGGAGTGCTGGCAGCGCCCAAGAGGTCCTTCCCATGGCCCCACCTGTGTGCCTCGGCCCGCCCCCGCACCCCTGGCTGCAGGGCCTGGCAGCAGAGCCCAGTGCCCCAATGTGTACCCTCCCCCGTATGTGGGAGCCGCCCCCCCATGGAGGGCTTCAAGCAGCAGATGCCTCTGGGCACCCTGGGGTGGCAGCTGCGGTAGAGTCCGGGATGAGCAGATGAGCTGGCCTGGCTCTGGCTGCATGGGGCTGACACTCTAGAGGGGCGTGGGGCAAAGGCTGAAGCAGGGGACTGGGGAACGGGGCGGGGACGGGGGTGGGGGGGACAGTGTGGGGGCTGTGAAGGCCAGGGAGGGCCTCCTGGAGCAGCAGCAGGGGGGTGGGGGCTGGGGGCTGGGGGAGCTCCTCCCACCAAGATCTGAGCAGAAGGGACCAAGATTTGCATGGGGGTTACATGCTCCATGCAATCAATGTATGGACTGTTATGAGAGTCCCCAATAAAATGATCCTTTTTTTAAAGTGTGGGTGTGCGAGCCCGCGTCTAGGGACTGTCGGCAAGGTGTCAGCTAGTGGGGGGGGGGGACACACACGTGTCTGGAGGACTCCACTGAGCATGTGGCCCCTCTTCTGAGGGAAGTGACCCCGCAGAATGACGCAGGAGCGCTCCAAAGATCGCTCTGGCAGTCTCGAGATCAGGGCGGCGCCCCACAGGCCACAGCATCAGCCTGTCTTTCAGCCCGCCAGAAATACGCAGGAGGGGACCAGGCCTGAGGAGGGGTGGGGTGTCAAGAGGCCGTGGTGAGACCAGCACCAGAGCAGGGCGGCCGGCCGCAGCCTCCTAAGACCAGCTGCAGTCCCTTCCCCGCAGGCGCCTGCGCACACCTGCCTGGGGCCAGGTGCCTGTTGGAAAAGCCACAGGTGCAGGAAAGAGGACACCGTCATTGGTTCCCCGCAACCCCCCACCAGCCCAAACATTCCGCCATGCGCCCAGCCCCTGAAAGGACACTCCTCCTTTGTCCCGATCCACAGGCTTCTAGAACATGCTCTCCCGGAGGGCTTAGCCACGGAACACTGACTCTCAGAGAGCGCCTCACACATCCGCCACTCAGGGCGCATTTCGGTCTGTTTGCTCCGGGCCCTCCTCCAAGCCCGGCCCAGAGTGCCCTCTGCATGCAGCCTTTGCAAACGTGCCCACAGGGCAGCCCTGAGGGGCCACTGAAGGGGACACACAGATCTGTCCCCACAGGTGCTGGGGAATGCGGGCCACTGCCCCTGGGAGTCCTGGGGGCCCAGAGTCTGGGAGGAGGCCCCCGGAGAAGAAAAAAGGGATGGGGGAGAGACAGGTGGAGAGAGAAGAGCCCACTGTCTTCCTCCCTCAGAGTGGCCAGTGGCAGCCTCACGAGTGACCACCACCACACCCAGGGCTCCCTCGGGCAGAGGTCGGAGAGAGGACTGATTTTTGGAAGAATAACTGAAAATGGCAGAGTGACATGTGGCAGCGTGGCGTGGAAATGGGTGGCTTCCAGTTAGTGTCTTATTGCTATTATTAAAAACTCATTCGGCCCTGAGGGGGCCCACTGACAGGATTTCAGGGCCTGTCAGCAGAGTACATGCCACCAGAAACGTAGGTCCTGGACGATGGTTTGTTCCCGCCAGGCTTTTTGAGAGACGGCCCAGACACGGGCTTGCTCCGTGCATGACGACATTTTCAGTCTAGGACTTTGCAAACAGGATTCGACGTGAGTGTTGGGGTGAATCGGACATTTTCACAACTCTGCTCTACCCAGCTTGGGGTCTAGAGCTGAAAATAAAGTCTCTCTGGCTTT